GATCAGATTGAGCGATTTTATTTCAATAAGAATTTCTTCTTGATTTTGCTTGGAATAAAATAAACCTTGGAAAAAGATCAAGTGTTGAAATGTAGGATTTTAGATAGTATGGTAGATGATTATATGTTTGGTTTATTTACATATTTATGTTTTTTAACTAATTTTGCTTATATATTTTTAGTTAAAACACACCTTCATATCCAATAAAACTTTATTTACCTAAATAATTTGTATACTTTAAGTAAATTTTATGATAATATTATTGATTTTTACTAAAATTGCTTTACCAATTAACGTTTTATTCTTAAAAGTTATTAGTAAATCAAGGCGTGTGATTGAAACCCATTGAATTTGAAATGTAATTGCATTGGAAGATCTTAAAATATTTTCGAGAGCTTCTTAATGAGCATAAATTTGTACCTAAATTTCTGGGAAAGTTACTTTTTGGCTGAAGCACAAACCGGTTTCAATTATATTTTAAATAAATAACGTAAAAGACGATATCAGTTCACTCTGAAGCCGTCTTTTTAGACATTCTAAGATAAAAACAATGTTTGTGTTACTTTCAAAACATATTCTATTCTCAAGTAGTGTCATATACTTGAGTTTTGAATATATGTTTCGATTATTTTGATACTATCAATTGATAGCTTGGTTATCTATTATATTATTCTACTATATAGATAACTGTTGTCTTAAATGAAATTTAACTTTTATAAAATCTATATATGAGTTCTTATATATGAGTGCTTGATGGAGTTCTCTACTTTTAAAATAATTTCATTTGTATTATCTATGATATATTTAATAAAAACACACTGAACACCATTTAGTAAAGTAATTATGTCAGATATTGAAAATGTTTTTATTTCATTAATTGAAATATTTGATTGGTTTCAATATTTTTGCCTTTTTTTGTAATTACCTTTTTGAATTTTTAATTGGTGGTAAAAATTAATATTATTTAAAAAAATATGAAAAGTAATCTTCAGCTAGTATTATTATTAATACTAGGGGTAGGTTTAAATACTTTTAAGTTAACTAGGGACATATATGTATATGTGTATAAGGTGACAGCTCCACCATTGAACTAGGAAGTTATGAGCCAAACACTCCTTGGGAGAAACAGGAATGAATGGAAAGAATATGTCAAAAAATATGTCATAATAATAATAATTATTTTTTATCACACCCAAAATTACAATAAAAAACGACTTCCGATTCATACCAAAAATATTTAACACTATATCGAATTCATATCAGTTCTGAATTAAACCATTCACCTCACTTATGTACGTTATCAGACCAACCTAAGGACTTATTGCGTTTATAAGCAAGAAAATAAACAAAGTCCCAGAGAAGACGAAACAAGTTTTCCTGCAACTTCTTTTCTTTTCTTAGCTTACGAGTATTGCAAACACGTAGCACTTAACGCTTGCTTTGGGCATTATTGCCAGTTGTCCAGTTAGATGATGGACGCCAAAAACAATAACTTATGGTAATTAAATGTGAATGCCAGCTTCGGAAAATAAGAAACTTTGCCACTTCGCTTACACATTACTATAGAATACTTCTGTATTCAGTTTATATTGTTACTAAAATAATGGCCATTCTGAGTTGGCTCCCACTATATTTAGGTACCATTAAATATGAAGTCTGCCCACTCCCTCAGCCATTCTATACAATAACTGCAAATGATGTTGAGGTAAAGTTATTTTTCAATGTAAAAAATAAACAAAGATCTTTGCAGATCTATTGAAACAATGTACGTTACTTTTATGTGTCTCACCTTCGAAATTTAAATTTAATGACAAATCAAATTAAATAATTAATTTCAAAATCTTGAAACCAATTAAATTACATCAATTGACCAACACTCAACAACTACATCAACATCACACCAACAAATTCAACCTTCAGTGAGTGAGCTTTGCGTTTGTTAACAATTGCACTCAATGTGTTGCGGTCGAAAAAATATTATGGAACGCAGAGAAAACAAAATGTACTCCTTCCAACTGCTTGTAGAAAAACTGTGTCAGCAACTATAAGCCGCTTGGCGACTTGGCGACTTAGCTAGTTGTCGACTTGAAGGTTTACCGTTCAGTTTAGTTGCAGGCAATATTTAGGCTGCTTGTTACTTATCACAGTAAATACCAATTGTTGATCTTGGCCATTGCATGCTGAGCCATTGATAGACGATATTTGGCAATATATGTGTGTAGTTACGCGCAGGCTCAGTCAATTATCAAACTTTTAATGACAACAGCAGCAACGCCGATAGTCGCCGACAGCCGCCGACAGCTGCCGAACGCACGCAATCAAATAAGCTCACTAAAAACTCGTATTTGTTGACATAGTTTGAGTTTACGATTCAAATAAAAGTGCAATAAACCAAATTAAACTCACTTTCAACAGTCGAACATAAATGCAAATACATATTTTAAACATATTTACCACCACACCATAAATATGCAGCGAGAGCGAGAGCGAGAGTGAGAGCCAGAGCGGCGGCAACAGCAACAGAAACAGCAACAGAAACAGCAACAGCAACAGAAAAACATGAAATCAGCGCGTTAAGATTACAGCATACTTGAACGTAGTTGCATAATTTGCGCTTTTATATTTTAACTTGCAATTTCGGTTTTTGTGCGTTAAAAACGTTTTTACATAAATCAAGCCATACTTTTGAAAATATGGTTCAGAGCCCATGAATTTTTGAACTTTTGAATATATCAGCCACTAGTTTCCTGTTTCTTGCGTTCTTGTAAGAAAATTTAAACAGATCAATCATTCGAGAGAGGATATACATATACATTTCAATAAATACTTATATCGCCCACCATCGCAATTAATTCAGCGAATTGGCAGCAATAAGTGTCAGTTCTCATACAAAACTCATACAAAAATGCGCTAATATAGATCGAAAATTTTAAGTGTAAACATATTATCACAGAGAGGTTTTCAATAGATATTTTATAGAAATTAAAAATACCGTCAACACAACACAATCGTATTCACTAATTCGGATAGTTACAATATTTGGAAAAATGGAAAAATATTAATTTTATTAAATTTAAATTACAATGTACTAATTTGAATCGATTTTTTGTTATGAAAAACCTTTTCAAGCGTATTCTTTAAAATAGTTAAAGATACTAAAGAACCTTGAATTCTGTAATGGAAACTACTCCTTTAACATTGGGTATATGTATGTATTGATATATGTATAATAAAAGTATTCGAATTCATTAATAATAAATATGTTGATTAAAAATCTTACTCTAACTCATTGGAATTTTGGTCTGTTTGAGCATAGAAGTAAGGAATTGGAATTCAGACCGAGTAATGCTTAAAATAATATCTGCACACGACAGTAATTGCAGCATTTGAATATTTTACGAAAACTCAGCTTTAGTTTCTGTAGTAGAAAACTCAAGCGTTGCTACTTTTGCAACACAGCAATTCAACTGAACCGAACCACAGCTTTAATTACTTTACGAGTATTTGGTCAGAAATGAAACGAATAGTTTCAATTCGGTTTCGTAAACCGTTAGGCGGGGGGGAATGAAAAATGTGTGTATGTAATTATGTGAGTCCAAGGCATTGGCTGAACGGACATGGTGGATCGTTTTCAATTTCAAAATCCTTTAATGCATTTTTAATTCCAATTGAAGGTTACTCTGTTACGAAATGTGAATATAGTGAATATAGTGTGATGAGGTAAAGACAACGAAGTGTTATGGAAACATACGCATGAAGACATATTCGATACCTTCATTTCTTATGTATAAACGTTTTTTCTAATTAAAATTTTGTTTTCACTAAAAACTAAACTAAAAGTTTGTCAGAGATCCATAATGGATTACAATTATAACATGTAAAAGAAAAGACTTTATCAAAACTTAAGCTTAAATGCCCTTCGCACCGAATTAATGGGTTTTCTGCATAATTTAACGACTTGCAGATGGTCGAATGAATCTTAGCACAGACTCATTTTTTTGAGAACTTAGGTAGATGAAGCTTTAGCGTTAATGAGACTTATCAACCGTATCAGATAATATGTACTTGTATAAAACATCTGTCCTAATGAACACTAATGAACACTTATTTTTAAATCAAATGTGGGTGTATCGTAAGAAAGAAATTTAAAAAATTTACTGAGAATAAATAAGAAGTTCCAGCGAAACCAAAGTAAAGTTTTACCTTACGCGAGACTTAAAAACTATTTCGAAGAAATTTTGATATCAATTTTAGGAGCGTTCACGTGCAAAAAGCGATGATGATAGCGATGTTTCTACTAAAATTAATATTAAACTGTTCTTAGCGAGCTGTAATAAGAAGCTTAATAGTTGTGATAGGACGGGTGAAGTAATCATATCCATTAAAATTTGGGGCTAAACTACGGCTATTAGTACACTTGTTCATTTAATCTTTAGCAGATACAACTTATAGAATTAATAGAATAGAAACGAATTCTTGAGAGCGGAAAGATGTAAAAGTAATTGTTTAAATAATCTTGTCAAGCTTTGCCATATGTGACTTAAGCGATTGATTTATCGTATAATTGTTTAATTTTCTTAAGATCTAATGTAAATTTAATGCAACTAAATGAACTGAAAAAAATCTGAAGTATAACATATTTTTTTGATTCAATTTTTACCAATAGGTTAATTTATATAAATACAATAAGTACCGTCGTAGTTCTCTATGTCAATTTCCTATACATAAAATACATGAAAATTAAGTATTCGCGTAAATGAACACAGATGAAACAGAAGTTTTTATCCAATCAATTTTTATTAAAACTGTTTGCGTTAACTAAACAAATGTCAATCATTTGTAAATAAAATGGGAAATACCATAGGATCGATCGAGTGTTTAAAATTCTATTAAAGTCATTTTAATAAAAACAGTAATCAAAGTCAAGTGAAGAGACAGGGCCTAGGCCTGATGTATGTATGTAAAACAATATATTATAATTTTGTATTTTTGAAACTTACTTTTTACGGCCCACATGTTAGCCTCAACTAGTCCTTGTATATACTTGCTGGTATCTTTGGAACAATTTGTTGATATTTCAGTTCTAATGTTACTCCAGCTGGAGGCAATGTGTGCTATATCAAAAAAGTTTAGTACATCCCTGATTCGCAGCGTTCTCGAAAAGTCGATGGATTCCCTGATGTATTGGCTTTCATTTGTGTTTAGCTTAAGATTAATTGTGTTAAAGAGATCAGTGTTGATCATATGAATGGTACGATTTGCTTTTGAAACGTCGTTATTGCTTATAGCGGCGTTGGCCATAAAACTTGCCAGAAGAGCAAAGGCACCGTATAGACAAAAATTCTTCATTTTTTAAATAAATACAAAAAAAATACACAAATCATGAAAATTATAAAACCAAACTCTTCTACTTATTAACACCTTTTCTTTAAAAAAATTATAAATGGCACAAAACACTTTCACTGATTTTATTATTAAAATTCAAATTTTGTGCAAACGTTTAAACGCCATAAATCTTTTATTTATAAATTTTTAAAGAGTAGTATCTTCCACAATATATATGAATAATATTAAAAATTTGGGGTTTTTATTTTGTTGCACTCCATAACGTTGTTTAAGATTAACACCACTTTTATTTTCACTCAATAGCAAACAATTCACTGTATTTTTTCAAAAAAGTTCAAATAAAATCTTTTACTGCCAAGCGACAAATCCGGTCGGTTTCAAGGAAGGTCGGTTTTAAAACTAAATTAAACGAAAAATACTGAACAATTTCAAAACGCTGGTCCCACGAACATAAACTTATATCTATGCGCGAGTCACTGAAACATTCGTGGTTTGTACTCAAGAGCTTAGTCGATGTAAAGTCGTTTCAATGTAAGTCAACTTCACCGTTTGACTAACGAAAGTAAACTGAAAAGTTGTTTTCTTCTTTCGTTGGCGATAAGTTGACGTCTCAGAAACCATGGAAGTTGCGGTTGCAGCGATGTCTGAGTGTGCTTTTGGCCATAAAACTTACGATGTGGTAATAGGTATTTGCTGATGTTTTGTACAGTGAATTGCGTTATGTGCTTCGTATTATATTTATTGTTGGGAAAACAAAACATGATGCAAAAATAAACGCTTAAAACACCGAAACTTAAAGCAACTGAAACCTTTTTATTCAGGAATATTTGCAAAGATACATATTTTTAATGATCAATTATTTTAAGACATATACCTATGTGAAGACCTGGAGAACTTACATACAAGTACTCATTTACATAATCTTCGAAATCAGTTACGTACCTACTTTAGTTCTGAATGAACACTACAACAATTTCTATTTTCACTTCAATTAAAATTTAGAGAAATAATACTAAGCATTTAAAGAAACAAATCAGAATATCTGATCGTCATTCAGAGCACATTTAATCAACTAGTTAAATATTTTGCTTAATTTGGGACTGCGACCACTTCAATATGGGAGATATTGTGATTTGTCCATGATGAATCTTTAGATGTAAACCGTTAGTGCCTATATATAATAGATAAAAATGTTATTTGAAAACTGAGCTCATGATGACATAATTTAGCCATATAAAATAACAAAAACTGTTTATTTCTTAATCAATAAACTAAACAGATCTATTTTGGATGATATAACGTAGAAAAATCAAGTATTCATCTTGGCTGGAATTTCCACCCTGATTCACTATATACACTATATACATCATCTATATTTATTTCAGAAATATGTTGTATGCAACCATACAATATATCTCTATATTAGTTGTAATTATATTCTTTAAGAGTTGCTAAAAAAGCTAACAGTATTTTGATAAGTTATAGCTGCTCCCAACACTACTCCCAACTCTACTTGTGTCACTACTTTTTTGACACAAGTTTTCTGTTTATGTTTTTTTTAATATATAAGAAACGATTGTAGACTCCATATAATAAAATTTCCGAGTTTTGCCTTAATTTATTAACACGAACAGCTGATTTACGCGATCTATATAAATAGATCTATATAGTTCGCGAGTTTTCGTGAGTCATAATAAACCTTTATGTATTTCGTTTTAAAATGTTTAATCGTCTATTTTGGCTCCCTTCGCCAAAAATGTATTCACACAGCAAATCATAATATGATCCTAATTTTGTTTTTGTGATTGCGCTCGTAAGTGAAAATACCGAACGTTGCAACAATATTTATTTTTGTATTTTACTTTTTCGAATTTCAATTGAAATTGATTTTGTACAAATTACAATTAAGTCGTTGTCGGATTTTATGTGGAATTGGATTGTAATTTTAATTTAATTTTTGACGTAGCGGACTGAAGAAGTCGATTGAGTAAAACTGCAATTCAAATTGTATTTAATTGTGCTGTGTGGATATATAATAATCGAACATTATTAAAATAGTTTTTTCTATGATTAAAGATTTTGTTTTTATTTTATTTATATGTGTAATCAATTTTCATATTTCTTTTCTATGAATTGATACATTTACATTATTTGACAATTGACTAGAAATTTTCACACAAATATAAATCACAATGAACGTCCATATTGACGGTGTCTTCTGATGTCTTCCGTAAGCTTCGGACTAATTTTTTTCAGACTAATTTTTACGAGTAAGCTTTTTTGTAGTTCTTAAAATCAAGAGCTACGACTAACATAACTGAATTTTTTTTTATTGTATTTAATAGCCTAACCTATTATCCTAAAAAATGTTAAAAATTAAACTGCAGGTAAATCAAGTTATTATACAAACAAACATCAGTTTATTACGCAATCTACGAAATTGAAAAGTTTTTACGATAAAATATTGGAAAACTGAATAAACTGAATAATTGGTTTTTCAAAAGAAAAATTTGTTAGTGAAATGAATAGGCGATCTAGTTAAATACGGACATGGACTCTGTGACACGGACACGGATGACTAATATTTAATACGAAAATTTTCTCATAGCTCCTTACTTAATTAAAATTTTTAAAAGTTTACTATAAGTAAATTCCATGTAATTATAGTATTTTATAAATGTGCAATGTTTATTATTCCAAATTCTTTGTATTAATCCCATTTTTTATATTGGAATTTATTACTACTAACAGGAACTGATATTTAATGTGGTATTACTAAGGTAAGTTATTTCATTCTATATAGTTTTTATGAACTATGATCTGCAACTTACTGGTCTACTTCTCTCCTAAGTGAATCATTGGGCCTCAATCTGCAACTTAATCTGATCTGCAACTACTATATGGTATCATATATCAAAAATGTTTTATATTTAAAGACTAGATGAGTATTAACCTAAGGTTAATAATTAATATAAACAAATGGATCTGGTAAACAGAATATTAAAATTATGTGAATAAACGATATCGGGAATTGCAAACCTCATTTGAAGTCTCTAAACAGATATAATGCACTAACAATATAGTTTAATAGAGCATATATAGCGTATAATATAGCGAATTTAAATCGATTGTTGTGATTTCGTTTGAAATAAATTGATAGAAATAGTCAAGCAATTACCGAAGATATAAGCAATAATATATCGTCGAAGGTGAAATATTTCAATAAAATTTTATACAAAACCATACTTATGAAATTGAATTAAATTACAGTGAAGGAAATTGGTTCAAAAGTGAAATTTATATAAAGAGACATACCTATATGACTTATAACAAATTAGTTATAATTGTAATCAAATGAGCATCAGTTCGAGTTTAACAGGTGCAATGGGAATAAAAAAGGCTCTGAGCCATGTACTACATTCAGAAAACTTCTACATATCAATTTAAATGTAATTTGAATTTTATTTCCTTCGAAAGTAGTTACATTTAAGATTTAAATGGAACAATAATAAAAGAACGATCTTAAAAGATGTGTATTTTTTGGACAATTCGTTCTGCGATGCGCACCTGCAATATTCATCTCGGCAGTAAAAAAATTGACAAACTCATCAACGGGTTTCACAAGTGAATTTCAATGGAATTTCAAGTTTCGGAACAGTTTCTCGCATTCATCTGTAGTTAGTTTCACAAAGGGCAGGGTTTAGTGTGTGCACGGCATTGTAAACTTGCGTACATAACAGATAAAAGATACAGTTGTAGATACAGTTGTGTGAATCTCAAACAATACCAACGCAGATGCGGATATATACACAGCAAAAATACAGAAAGAAATCTCTTTTCGTCAATTTATGTAATCGCTTTTAATGTGCATAAATACATTAAAAAGAGAAAAATATTGAGATGAAGAGAGGAAAGAAATAAAAAGGAAAGGTCACTTAAATTGCATAATCATTTATTTTTTTTACAGTAAAATTGTTAAATCTAAACTTGCGATTTTGTTCGCTGGGATTTGAAATTATTTGTGAATGGCCGTTGCGAAATATCTGCAATCTTAATTCAACATTACTTTTAAAACATTTTTGAGTATTAAATAAAAATAAGCCGAATCGTGTAATTCACAAGATACAATTACTACGAACTTGTGTTGTTGTGTTTTTATTTAATATGTACTTGCTACCTTACTTATTGCTGATACTTGAACTCTGATTAAAAAAACGAAAAAAGCCTTAATTACACTTTATTTCATATTAAGCTAGACTTTAGCAGCATATAAATACATTAAATTTGGCGGAAATGAAAGAGTTTATTATAATAGAAGTGAGACTTCTATCATAATGGAAGTTACATTCATATAAATACTTTTTAATGTTGTATAAAGTATTAATAATTATTGGTGATATTGGCGATTGCAACTACTATTTTAGAGGGATGTCAATATTATTCATAGATGTTCAACAGAACTCCTGCTCTCATTTACACTTTTATTTATCTACTCAATTTTTGTATAGATATTTTAACGCTGATGAAAACAGTTATAGATATGAACAGGAATACTCTGTGTACCTCTGTGTACGAGAGCATATCAAATTCTAACAAATTCTTTACAAACTATTCACTTTCACAATTTCTGAATACATCCAAGTGTGTCCCTATAATTACTACAATAGTTAATCGATCTATCGTTCTATGTACTAAACCTATATTTTCAAAAATATAAACATGTCTGAACGCAACTAAGAATTAAATTGATAACAGAAGACAGCACTCAAAGAAGTGTCTTAGCACATCTACGAGAGCACTGATTTTTGCTGAGTTATTTGCAGAACGTATAAATATAAGTCGTGTTGGGAAAAGTTAAAAATAAGCTAATTGTAAACAAGAGGAACAAATAACATTGATATATTTACATAAATTTTAATGTCAAAATATTGAAAGTGAAAGTGTCAAAACGAAGCATTTAGCAATTCAATAGGTAAGATACATATATCATCCATAAACGCACGCGCTTTAAACTTAGGACTATTGTCAGATGCAAGAGCAGAAGCAGTGGAAATCTGAGATTTATAAAAAAAATAAGCAAATAGTTACTCATCATTTTAAGTTTTTACATCTCGATATTTGTTTTGTTATTTGTGGTTGGTTTCAACCGTATACTTGCCTATATGCATATATATATTTTACCTTATGCCTTTTAGTTTATTTTGATTTATTTTTACGATGTATTTCTTTCCGCCTATTTCGGCACATATACATTTTTTACAAAGAAAATGCATTTTAAAAACAGAATCTGCAATCTTACAAAAAAAAACCAGTTATAATTTTTATTTAAATAAGTGAGAGAAAGAGATTTTAAAAAATTTTGATAATAAATATAAATACTTGTAGGTACGTATTAACGTGGCCGCTGATTCCTACGCTCTCGACACCCTCTCGACTAAGCACTTCTAACTTAACTAATAGTTGAACTAATAGTTTAAGACTGACATGCAACAATTCATGAAGTTAAAATATCCTCTATATCCAGAAATCACCCATTCAACAATTTTATTTAAAGCATTTAAAAATATCCTGTGAAATATTCCTATCTTATAGAATTTTATGCAATAAGTACAACTCATTTAAAAGGACGAACTCAAAGACTTGAATCCAAATAATAAATTTTGTTCCAAAAACAACTTGTCATATTGCTTTTCGTACTCCAAAATAAATAAGACTTTTTAAATACAAATTCTTTATTGAAAATATACAAACCCAAAATATGGTTTATTCCGCAAAAGTTGACAAACGCCCAACAAATGCTTTCATCGATCGACACTTTAACCCGTTTAACCCGTGACTAGAGATCACGCACTGTATTCAGTTGATTTGGTTTTAAATTTTCAAAAAATGCATTTGATGAGGGAAGGAAAATTGATGGCCTTGTACCGCGAATCCTAATAGACAATCATTTCAGACTCAATAAGCGAGCTTCAGTTTGTCGACTTTACGGTAGATCGATATGTGTTAAAGCCCTTTTTACTTTGGAATGTGGAATTTAAGAACAAATATATGTCTTACGCTAATTTCTATTTTAAATTTAATATCTCGACTTTAGGTTAAAGCTGTCTTTAGAACACTGAAGAACTGAATTCGGACAAAAGTCGCAATATTGAAAATAAAAATTAGTGAAAAATAATTTATGTTTTCCTTATTTATAACTATAATTTAAAGTAGTTGGACTCATAAACCTCATACAACACTATATTAAAACTATTTTTTTTTTGTCATAAAATAATAAATATAAAGTATTTATTTATTCTTAGCATGTAGTTTATATCTAATGCATTGATTTTGTACATAATGCAAAAAATATCTCTTTGAAATTTATTTATATATTTATTAACTTAGATTGGGTGAGAATTGTTTGCAAATCTATCTTTTATATAAATATTAAATATTTTTAATACATCACAAAGTTTTAATAAATAATTCTATTTAAATTGAACAGAATTTATTAAGAGGGTTTAAGAGGTGCAAAGTTGATTTATGTGCCAAATTTGTAAAATATAAATATAAGAAAAGCAAAAAATATTTAAAAATATAAAAAATTATAAAAATTATAAAAATATAAAAAAACTGTCTGAACAATTATGCTGGTACCTATTTAAGTTGCTAGTTTACCACTGACGGGTTAAATTGGTTAGAGTGTCAAGTCAACAATCAGATTTGCTAAGAGGTCAGATTCAGCATATGTAATAAATATTTTTTATTTCAACCTTTAATTATTAAAGAATTTTTCAATATTCTTCTAATAACTATGGTATTGATAAAAAAGTAATAGATAAATATTAGAAGACATTATGACTTCTGCTTAATTTCCATGCTTCGTTATGAGAGCAAAAGAACTGTTTCCAACTATTGAAGAGGAAATCACTGATTGTGATTATTTCACTGTGATTTAAAATGTGTTCAATTTTGTGAGCAATCCTATAAAAATTCAGCAGAATACAAATCACAATAAAAACAGAAAAATATTAAAAGCTATTCCATCAAAATTTTTCATACACAGCTTATATGTCTAAATTGAGATTGATAGAACAACATTTAAAATTTTTGCATTAACGATGCAAATGGTGTTTCTTACTCAATCATTCATTTACAACTTCCTCATGCCCGAATACCTATTGAACCATGGTTACAATGGTAACCACCACTTATGAGGCCGCTTCTCATAACAGTGGAACCGATCGGTAATACCCTCACTCCTTTTTGTAGTTTGTCTACAAACTTGTTTCTCTGTAACAAGATATTTAAGGTTTTAGTTGGATTCTTTTTATGTTGTGACTTTCTTATAGCTCCTGAGGAATACCTTCTCAACTGATATCCCAGTCCACCTTCGAGCATTAACCAAACCCGATTAACTGATGCGCGATTCTTTAACATAACCCGTTCCAATTCCCTTTGGAACTCACCCTAAGTTTAAGTTTTAAACAAACATTCTTTCCGCATATTTTGCAAAATGTAAAATGAAGCTCAGTTAATATTTGAGCTATTAACACACTCATATAGCTTGTTGACAGACAGAAGTAACTTGGAATAGTGCTATCTCCCAAGCACAATTTCATTCCACACGTCAAATATATCAAAAATATGATATTTTTGATTACTGCATGCAAAAGGAATATATTTTCAAATATTTACTTAAGATGTAAATTTGTCAGAGAATTGTTTTATATAGATAATGTGATGAGTTTACAGATAAAAACATTACATATCTGTCAAATAGGATTAATTCGTACTTTAAACTTCAACCTGCTTAGTGAAAAATGGCTAAGGTCATAAAGATTACCAAAAATTTGATGACCCGCCAAACGAACTGTTTCATATAGAAAACTACTGCAATCCCTATTGTTACAAACTATACAATATGAAAATATAATTCCTTCCTACCAATTTGGATCCCGCAATACTGACACAATAGTGCTGTATATAGTTATCTTATCTGGAAGATCGTTTTTCAAGCGAAAAACGTGAAAATGTTTATTCTGAATTAAGAAAAATAAACTCTGGCGTGTCAAAATAGAAAACAAACTTATGTTGTATAAGCAATTCCAAAAGCCCATAGAGATTCCAAATTCACCAATAGTGTTACGTTGGTTCCAGCCGTTACCAATGTAGCGAAAGAATTCGCCAAACAACATACACAACTATCGCGCCTTTTTAATGGTAAAGCTTCTGTAACACTCCAGGAAAACGTTTAACGGCGACGGCTTAAACAATCAACTGCGCTGAACCTTCTGGGATACCTTTTTGATATACATATATGTACTATATACATATATGTATGTTATGTAAGCTTCATTTTTTGTTTTTGCTTAATATAACCAAAAAGCGTACAAATCAGCTGCTCCAACTAAAGAGAGAACTGCTCAGTGCTACGGTATCGGTGCTGACGGGTCATTGTCTAATAGGGAGGCATGCTATGAGACTGGGTCTTCCTTATAATGACCTTTGTCGAGGTTGTGGCTCTGAGGACGAGGAGGAAACTGTGTTTCATCTCATGTGTCAGTGCCCATCTTTAGCCAGAAGAAGATCAAAAATCTTGGGGGCCCCTTTTCTGACTGATCTAACTGATCTGTCATCCTACAATGTGAGGGACCTAGCTAGATTCATAGAACTGTCGGGCTGGTTTTCTTTCACCTAATGGGGGAGTCGTTGCCTCTCTGTTGGGCGTTGGTCGTATACAGATCACTTTATCTATATACGAACATCGCTCTTTCCTTGTGGTACCACAACGGGCCATTATTTGTGCTTAAGTGGGCTTTTTCTTGGTAAACAGGGCCGCCACTCCAACCAACCAACCAATATAACCAAACAAAATTGCTTGTTCGTATGTCTTATAGATGTTACAATTATTAGGACCAATTTATTTCAATTTAAGAATCGTTATATTAATATAAAATGTGATTATTTAAAAGACTTGCGATTCAATAATACGACACTTTCAATTATTTTAGAATGAGTTTTATGTAATGCACTGATATTTCGTGTTTACGTAATAAGTATATAATTTATACAAATAATAAATAAAAATTTATTTAATGGGCTTATAATATTAAAAGAGCAATAATTATTTGCGCTTGCAAATTGTAGCTTCCATAATAGAACATAAGAGCCCATCGAGCAGCACATGTAGTACGAAGGCACACACGTAAACTACTAAGATACATCCAAGCCACATAACAAACTGCGAAGTATCAAAATTAAAAACAACGCATGCAATAAATAAAAGGCAAGAAATTATTTACAATATTTAAGTTTCGAAATTATTGCTTTCGGATTTGGCTCTAAACTTACTGTCTGTCCGTTTGACGTATAAATCGGTGCATCTGCGGTAAATATAAACAGCCTAATTACGATGGGCGCAATTATCATACAAATTGGTGATAATTTCTCAAGAGCCGAAATATATTTAGATTTACAGAACATCGATAGAAAGCCTATAAGATTTTAATAGACATAAAATATTCGTTAATTATTTTCGTTTTTAGAAATATTAATAGTCATCATTATTACATTCAAGCATAAAGATTTACTTTTCTCCTAAATAGACGTAGTAATTATATAAGTGAACATATGACTACTGCAAACCCGAAAATCTTTAAGCACAGTTTTACTTACGTCCATTAAACATAATAACACTAGTAAGTGTTAGCCAAAGCAAAACTAATGACCATATTGTATGTGTAAACGTTACTAATGTAATCCGTACTATATGATCCACATATCCCAGAATCATCTCATAGCCAAAAACGATTATAATAAGTGTTAGCAGACAAGCAAACCAACCTTAAGTAAACATATACATTATCAATTATCTTTACAATTAAAATAAATTCCGTCTAAGTACCGCAAATGAGTAAAATTGAATTAATTTTAATTTTGTCATGAGTTTTACTTAAAACATATCCTAAACATATACCCATAAGATATGGTGAAACGCGTAAACAAATGTTATCGAAAACTATGTTGAAAGTGGTCAATTCGTAGAGTGTAGAAATGCTATAGAGTCATAAATTTAATTACAAGAACTTAAAAAGAAAACAATTTCTCGCTGACCTGCTCTGAGGGTATGGCCTTAGCTCCCAAATTGATGCAGCAAAAACTGAGAACAGTAGAGATACGCAAGCTATTGCGAATGCATACCCTGGATATATTTGTGCTAATAACAGCACAAAGCAGGAAACAATGAATAATTTTACCTCGAGAGATATGAACCAAGTCCATGGCATGCACTAGAATATTTGAAAATTTTAGCAATATGACAAATGATATACCTCTTTTTTAACAACCCGTTCCGTTAATGGAAAAAATGTGTCCATATAAAAGATATTGCTGAATTTTTGCTGTTCACAATTGATGTAATCCAAAGAGGGAATTTCCAATGCAATATTGTTGTGAAGATACTGATCCAAAATAAGTTCCGCGAGTATGCAAAAGAAGTAAGAGCAAGCTCTACTGCAAGATATTAGAAACAAGGTTATGTTAATATAGATAAAAAAAATAGATATAAATACTCGGATGAAAGACATACACAAATATTTTTTTTAAGATTAATTTGGACACATAATGCACGTCCACAAATACGTTCAATCGTTTAGTTGGAAAACCTTTAAGAAATATAAAAGCCAACTTGTATCCACTGAAAAACAAACTTGTGTTAACTATCATTCAGAAATCAAATTTTAAATACAGCAAACCTTATAAAAAAATATATGTCATATATATATTTGATGTACTTAAGAATAAAATTTCTTTGGCGTTTCATTTCATTATTGAAATTGTTTGACATAAGACTGACTTCAGTAGCAAGATGAGCGTATATAAAAAGTGCTGTGAAGACCACAAACCAGCTCTCACCAGGCTCACTTTCATCTCGAAATAGATTTTTCATAGTATTATTTATAGATAGCGTAGCTAATATTTCTTCACAAAAACAACTGCGTTTATTTGTTAGACTCGCAGACTTTTTTTCTTAAATATTGGACAGCTGCATTAATGACTTCTTTAAATATTTAATGTAGAAATTTACCAACTTTATTCAAATTTGAGTTCCTCGTTGTGTTGGCACTTTTAAAATTCGTTGAGGATTTGTTAGGATCGACTAAGTGTTTAACATTAAGGTATAATGTTCCTTTGCAATCTGTTGTTATATTAAGATTTTCTTTTATGTGTATTTTTTGAAAATGAGATCCAGAATATCGCCTTAACAAATAAATAGTCCCATAAAAGCACAATGAATTGGTAATCAAGATTCTGTAAAATTAGCATTTTAAAAATTATTGCAAGATTTCAGAAAATTTCTTTTGTTAGATGTGATTCAAAAGGATTCAGGATCAAAATGTGTCATTGCATTTATCCCTCTCGTAAATCTTTTAGCCCCTAAATAATCTTTAGTTTCGGAAAATCAAATTTAAATATATGTTAGAATAATAATTTTTTGTGATAAAAATAATATAATTGAAGCCAATAAAATTAAGAAAATCTTGAAGAACGGACTACTACTTTCGAAAAGCCGATAGTTTACTTTACTCCAGTTCAATATTTCTCTTAAGATGTGTTGTTGTAAATATCAATTCGACGGTTTACAGATTAATGAGCTATGAAATCAATTACTGTTTAATGAAAAATCACTAGCGATATTACTTTTTTATCTTTCTAAGGCATTGAATAAGGCTTAAGTTAGAATGAATATTTTCAGTGATTTAGTTTTTCTTTTAATTTAAGTGTTAAGAGTTTATTTTGAAAGTTGCTTAAGTCCATTTTCCAAAATAATTAAGTTAGCTTGTAGGTAAATAGTAATAATTTTGCAACTCATTCTAAATGTTACAATTATTCTGATTTAAGCTTTATTCGCACATTCTCAGGCCACAATACATAAAACGCTGAACTTGCAATAATTACTTCAAGCACTTTGGGATGCTGCGGATGCTGCGCCGCTGTCAGATACAAGTGTACTTTGAACATTGAGCGACCAACATCGGACAATAAAAAGCAAATTCAAATATTTAAATTGTGACTTCGAGTTTTTAATAAATATACATATATACATAGGTATGATTAAAATAGTCGCAAGCTATTTCAATATTAACATTGGTGTTGTTCATCTCAAAACAAATTGTCAATTATATATGTATTTAAAATCACTAACATTTTGTAAACGAAAATATTTTGGATAATGAAACGATTTTTGTCATTTTATTTATTTTGAAAGTTTCAGATGAATTTAAAAAATATTAAACAATAAAATTTAAAGAGATTAAGTAGTATTGTGTGGTCTCAATTATACCACACAATAGACCGTTGTAGAAAAATTTTCACCTTAACATCTTAACCTTAGGGGTTACAATGCACGAATAAAATGTGCTATGCGAAAAATAAAAAATTTTCTGAAAAATCTATAAGATCATTGAAAGCGAAAGCATTTAATGAAATTCGTCAAATTCCACCAACAAGCGTTCAGGACAAAATAGGAATATGAAAGTAGCTTTGATATATTTTAAGACTGTCCAATGTAATGAAAATAATGTATATGCCCATTAGTTCCTGTTATAAGGACGGTGCATTCATTTATTTAGAAAATTTTAGATTTAGAAGATTCAAAAATACTGACGGACTATAGGTAAGTTGGTCAAAAATATTTTGAATAAACTATGTATATATATATATAATGTATGAGATTGCACTATTCAAACCTCCGTTATTACCATCGCATCGAAAAAGACAAAGAGACAAAGATCACTCGGCGTGCTTAATTAAAGTATTTAAAGGTTTTTAAATCAGTCCAACTTACGCAAATTGGAGAAAAATGGTTAACTACCATTTCTTATTATTTTAATATTTTTGTATGGCAACAATTACAAAATTAATTATTTTGTTAAAAAATGTTAATTAAATTTATTAAGTGGAAAGTCCTTCCCTCCCGTAGAGTCCCAACAATAAACACTGTTATTAGATACCATTATCTATAGTTTTATAAAAACACAAACCCTAATATGTATATCTCGACTGACACTTAACTGAACTTGTACTGGTTTCAAAATAAACGGCTTGTTGCAGACATATGTTGTGGGAATAACGAAATACTCACATTAAAACGTAGAAATTAACATCTTGTAAAACGTTATAGTCGTTGCTGACAATTCTATGCGAAAGATATGTATTGTTTCTTACCACATGGTTGCTCTGAAATAAATAAACTTCCAATATTTGTTTCAAGTCACTATTCGTACATGACTGTGGAAAACAAATTAATTGCTCGAATTTAATGGTCTGAAAACAAAATCACAGCATCTTTAGTCGATTTTTAAATATACAGAACATTTATAAAACCTTATATGAATCCTCACTCACGATTTCCAATAAATACTGACCAATGACAGTATGAACTGCAAATGGCACTACGGTGGAATTTTGTAGTTTATCTCCATAGTTAGACGTATTAAGTCTATTTTCATACAAATTTAATAAATTTCGACACGAACTAGGGCTTTGCATACGGAACCGTGCACTGGTTAACCCCAAACTGCCACCTCCATAATATCCACTTGCATCAAATACTGGAAAACCATAATATATGTTAATTTTTATATTTATTTTGACAGTTTTCTACTACATTTTATCGCCCAAAGCGTTCCGACACGTAAACCTTCCAAATAATTATACATGTCCTTGAGGCAGTTGATCGAGACATTCCAACCCTTATCATTAAACTCAAAAAATCTTATTGTAGCGTAAGGAGTAAAGTTCTCAAATATGTAACTAACGCTGGTGATGACTGCTGCATCCTGATTTTGTAGGCCACACAGCAGTATTATACAGACCACATATAGCATTTTATGTTTATGGTATGCACAATGTTTCGAATAATTTTGTAGGCTTTGAAAGTCGCTTTTTCTTTTATTTAAACTTATACGTCTACGCATTTCAAAAGTAATTGCAAAACTGATTCAATAAATTTCCTGAACCAACTACAGAAGACTCAAATTCAGTTCTCGTTTCTTCTTCGTTTTTAACATAATTTCCAATTTAAATTCGCGTAAAACGTGTACCAATCGTTGAGAAATCAGAGTAAATAAAAGTGAAGTTGAAAAGTTCGTGACTTCAGTGTTCATCTTCTCATTTTTCTTCCGTGAAAACTAGCAAATGGAAATAAAAATCAAGGGGGCAAGGCTTTCTTTTGCTAATAACTATTTACCCGCTTTAAGAAATTTTGCAAACATGATCTTTCTACTTTGTGTACCAGCGGGAACGATTTTCTTTATTTGCTGCAAAATGCAATTTTCACTAACTTTCTTAGCTCGAAACGAGAATAGAAGAGATGATTAGGTTCGGCACTGAAACAAATTATGCTAGACTCATTTAATTTTAAATCATCAGTTCAGCATAAATTTTAATATAAGTTTTCTTATACCTATATTTATTCAATCCAGATGCCTCTTGTATGGAATTTAGATTTGAACTGAAATTTAACTAAGATCTATGATTAATATATGTTGAACATTTCGAAAATTGAATTCCATTGATTTCAAATATCCAGACTCAAATGATTTCCTTTTTTGATTTTTACTTTTCTCTCCAGAAACTGACGTAAATACCCGTTTTGAATTGAAACCCTTTAATTATATGTTCCATTCAATAGTACCATCAAGAAAATACATCAACATAATAACTAATTGCATTTATTTTATTTAATAACAAATATGTTATCACTAATAATTAATTAGTCGTAATAACAATGAGTACAAATTATTATCTCATAATTTATTTAAAATGTTCCATCTAAATACTTTCCATATGTCAAAGTACTAGACTTAATAATTGTCTTTTAAATTTATTTTAATTATTAAAATTTCGTTATTGTCAATTTAAATAGTTAACATTCATATTATTATAAAATTAATTTATTTTTAAACACTTAGTAAGGAACAAAGAATGAAGAAAAATAAACAGTTAAAAATATTTTTAATACCTAAATCAAATCACACTAAGTCTACAGTACGGATTACAAGTAACACTGTGCGACGCTTAACTCTCTTCTTTGATTTTCTAACAGTTCCAGGTTAATTTCTAACCACGTAGCTCAAATCTACAAGGCGTTTTTCTTCTAGACCTGTAGGTCTTTGGTAATAACGAGTTGAAGCTCAAAAATTTAGATTTTATATTAATAAATACTAATTTCGTGTTGTCAGGAAACTTGCTACAAATAAAAAATCATATTTAAATTAATAATCTTTTCCCGAATCCCTCTCCTCTTCCCGCTCAAAAAGAGGAATTTTGCAAATATTTCTTAAAATCATTTTATAGGACAAAAAAAAACTATTTTTGAGAAATATTTAAAATCATTCCTCTTCTCGAAAGCAAGGAAGATCAATTTGGAGATGGACATCTAAGATGGAATTGCTTGTCTTTTTTTTCGTAGCAAGTTTGCTGAAAGCACAAAATTCGTATCACTTAAAAAAAACAAATTTTTTTATTTGCCCCTTATTAAAATCTCCTTTTCGAATTTTAATCCCTTCTTAACGGAAACCGAGATGTTTAGGAGAAAATTGGATTGCAGTTTTTGAGCTCAGCAACATGAAATCAACCTAAAGCTGGTAAAAAAAAATACTTCATTTTTCGCACAGTGTAATTAACAATACCTAGACTCTTTGTTTCAAAAAGAAAAATCTTTCAAATTTAGCTTGCACAATGTTAATAGTATTTTAAGCATTCGTAGCTATATTTTATTAAATTAACAATCTTCACAGCATTCGGCAATGCCTACGATAATAATACTTAAAAGAACAAATACTTTCACAAGATAGAAAGGATGTCAGTTATAGTTGATTTCATTTTAAACACAAATTAATAAAAATCTATCGCTTATATACAAAATAATTATTTTTTGTAATTACTGAAAGTGTTTTAATTACTAAAAAACTATTTAAATTAAAAATATTGTGAAATTAAAGGTTTTAAAAATTATTCCTGTAATAGTTCGTTCACACTGCTTTGTTTAGCACAGTTCTTTTAATTTAATCGTATGCCGAACCCGGTTCGGTTAGGAAGAAACCAAATGAAAAACGGTGAAAAAATCAAGAGCAGCCTTAAATTCGATCATTTGAAAAAAAAATGGAAGCTTCAAAATTTAACTTAGAGCATATACACAAAATAATGTACAGATTTTATTGGCAACAAAAGTCAAGTAATTCTTTAGAAATATTTTCATACATCTTATATGTAAAACTTGATTTTATAATGTAAGGCATAAATATCAATATCTATTTCAGTTGGAGAAGTATCTTCTTTTAATGTAATATTATCCGACAGTTTTTGACACATCCAAGCTCTTTAAGTGAAATTACCATCAATCAATCAGTGTGAACGCTGAGCTTTGCACTTTATTATAGATGTCCAAGTAAACTAAATTTTACACATATTTAATAATTATTTTAAAACTAATGTTATCTTTTTATATATTCGAGAGTAGAACTTCTGCCAATGTTAAATACTTTATACTTTATTAATTTAAAAGGACTAAGTGACTAAAAAGCATTCGGAAAAGTATATGAAATGTTTATAGAACGTAACACGTAGTAATAATTAAATATATATTTATAATTTTGGAAAAATAATCATATTCGAATATTCAATATTTTTTAATTAGTAAATATATATATATAAGTGTATATATATTACCAAAATATTTTTAAATGTAACGGAGCACTTCACAAATTAACTTCAATATTTATGCACAACAGCTACAAATCTTTTTGGTATGCACATACTAAATTTGATTAAAAATTTTTTTAATGTATACATTTAAATAATTTTTTTTTGCCTTTTAATATTAGAAAATAAATGTTTTTGTAAAAAGGTGTAATATTTTAGATGGGGACATATTTGCCTTTGGGCCTATAAAATAATTTCCCACGTAATAGTCTTCTCCGTATTTCGGAAAGCAACAAACGTTTCTCTTTCTTAATTTTCTTCAGAACTCCCTTGTTTTCAATTGCCCTACGTGAAAGATACGGCAGAACTTCCTCAACTGGACCATACGGTATGTATTTGTAAGCCGAGTATCCTGCTTGACCTATAATTAAGATTATTTCAATTGAAAAAAAGTTTTGTTACAGCGTCGTTTCAACTTTCACTTAAGGTAGTGTTTATTCGTGTTATTCATACCTAATGGGAAAGTAATATAATCACACATGCCTAAAAGTTGACCAAAGCAAATGACTTTATCTTCTGGTGAAATGCCGATTTCCTTCATTTTTTCTATTGCAAATCGCACTGTGTCTTCATTGTGTGACGCAACCATTATTCCAACTTTTTTTTGATCGTCTCCACTATCTTTTATAATCTAAAAGAACATTTTTTAAAAAGAAAGACCTCATATTTAAGTGGTTTTTATTGCCTTTATCCTTCGAAGACACTCAGTTAAAGTCTTATGATACATTTCCGTTGTGTCTTCATACGATGGATTCGTTGGATCAGCATAGCCTAGAGCAGAGGCTCGTGCTCGTTCTTGTTCAATATAGGCGCCACGTACAAGCTTAGCACCAAAATAAAAATTTTGACGTTTTGCTTGTTCCAAATCGGTAACAACCTAATTAAATAAAAAATAATTTATATATATATATATATTTGTGTGTATATCCTATTTCCATTTTTACCTCATGAAAGGCATCTTTTAAATAACATTGGTATGTATTGAAGACAATTGCCTTCTCTTTGTTGTATTTCCGCATCATTTCTAACGTTATACGTGAGATTGCCGGTTGAAAGTATGTCTGCTCGGCATCAATCATAATGCGAACATCTAGTTCAGCGGCAGTCTAAATTGTAGTTCATAAGAAAAAAAATTTCCTTTCAAACGCATTGTTACAGAAATTTTAAGGAATATCTTTGCCCTTTATTAAAACTAAAAATAACATAACTTAAGTATTTTAAATATAAAAGACTTTTTACCTTCACAATCGTATTTAGTCGTCGAATCATATTTCTAAACATTTCCTCTTCTTTTGTTGAAATTTGTGAAATAAGTCGTCTCATTTGACCACTTTGGGGATCCGGCACTCGAAATGTATCACTTAGTTGGGAGTCTTCGTCTACAATGCCCGACCATGGAAACAGGTGCAATATGCTATGTATATTAAAAATAAATCAAAAAAGGATATAATCGATCTAACAGATCAAAAACCAAAAATATTGTACTCACCCTTCTTTATCTGAAGTAACATTTTTGAGAAATTCCTTCACGTTTTTGTTATCACCTAAGCTTGCATAATACTTTTCTAAATCTTTAATAGTCTTGTGGTGGGTCAATACATTGCCTTGACCACCAACGAGATCTTCCATATACTTTCTTGTGCGCATAATTACTTCTGACAATTGTAGCTAAAAGTATTTCATTTAACCCATTTTTTTTTAGATTCAAATAAAAATTATTACCAAAAGTTGAGGACGGCCAAGCGCAGTTAACTTAATAGCGGTAATACCTGTACCAAATGTAGCACCTGCAAATAAAAAAATGGATTGCTAATTATAAAACAGTTTTAAAGTGAATTTAACTATTAATATAACTTTTATTTTCATTTCAAACTTTTTACCACTTGGCTTACCAATCGCATTTCGTCGAGGCAAGGTTTTATTGTCATCGGCTTCAGATTTTTAAATTTTGATTTAGACAAAGTTTTGAGATTTTGAAAATTGAATGAGTTGATATTTGAAGAAACCCAAAAGGTACAAATATTACCAATAAAGATTATTTAAAAATCTGATTAATTCATAAAATCATAGCGGTATAAATGTGTCTACATATTATATCATTTTAAAAGACAATAAAAAAATAAATAAAAATTCTACATTTAATGTGTGTAATTAAATAGGTATATAGGAATATTATCTCCCTTCAGTATTATCATCTTGTTTATAATTCTTGCTTTTTTCGTTCTTATATAGTAATAAACAAAATACAAATCCTGACTATTTACGGATTATTTTAAATTTTAATACCACGTTTTGGATATATAGAATAACTTATTCGACTGCATTGGAAGGCCGACAGCTGGAAGATGTGTAATGGAAAAGAGAAAAAAAGATACACCGCAGGGAAGTGGAGAACAAGTTTTAACAAACAAATGTTTTTTTAAAAAATAGGTATTGGTAGTTAGGTCATCTATTTGAAATTTCATGTGCCGGTAAGGTGAACTATTCCCTTATTAACTTGATTTGTCACCGACTTTACCGTTTTAAAAAAACACATTTGCCGAAGGAAGAAAAACGATTAAATATTATTATATTATGTTAAATATTATTTTTGTAATGACCGGTTATTTTTGCTTTGGTGGTCGTATCTTAGTACACAACGAACCTGTGATAGATAATCGCAATATTCTATTTTAAAAGTGGGTGGACCAAAAAATATTTTTTGGTTCGTCGGTTACACCAATTAGTAATTCAGTTGCATACAAGATAAATGCTTACATCGAGGGGCGTGGAATTTAAGAACTAAGTTCAGCCGGTAAATTATCGAAAAGTTTACAATCATTAAATTGCTACAACCAATTTTTCCTTGGAATATTCAATGATTTTGTTTATTGGCAATTGTTTAATTGCCAATATTGTATAATTAAGCCAATACTTTGATTATTGACTCATATGATCAATGTTTTCAACTGATTGGATAGGCAATAGGTATGGCTAAAAAATAGTAGAATTGTGATTGGAAAAACGAATGTAAGATTTTTCGAGTTATTTCGTATTTTATGTGCGCAAATATTAAAACTTTCATGTAAGTAAACAAAATTATAGTGAAAGTTCTATATAAGTATATTAAAACTGTTTAAAATGTGGACATTTCTAAATACATATTGAAATACTGAATAATGAAAAGTATATACACTACATGTTCTGTAAGTGGCAGGAATTATTCAAATATATGTTAAAATCTTGCAAAATAAAAAGATTACAAACGTATATGACGTGTTTGCAATTGGATTGAATTTTTATAACTAAATATTTACTCATATTTATTTAGAATATTCAGAAATAAAAACAAGAGTTTTATAAAACTGGAAAACGTTAAGACGTACTGCTGAATTTATCTACCGCTGAATATAGAATATATATTCAGTGCAATCGCAAAAGACATTGACACAACATTTCCCTAGAATACATAACAATGGAAATATAAGAAATTTAAAAGGCATGTAGCGATATTACGAAGAACGCGTCGACAGACAATCTAAAACATCTATTTGATATGATATTAGATCAAAATAATGAAGAAATAATGCTTCAGTCAAAATAACTTTTTTTGTTGTTGTTATTTCGTTATTTATAAAAAGGCAAATGTTAGAACAAATCACTACGTTAATGAATGTTCTTGTCACGCTGACGACTAAATTATGTCCGACAGTGAATTAAATATAGTGCTCTGGAACGCGAATGGGCTGTCAAAACACTGTTTAGAGCTACAAGAATTTTTAAAAGATCAAAAAGTAGACATCATGCTAATATCTGAAACACGTTTTACTTCAAAACATTATTTTAAAGTACCAGGCTATGACTTTTACCACACTATGCATCCCGATGGAACAGCTCATGGGGGAAGTGGCATTTTAGTTAAAACAAATATATTACACTTTGAAATGCAACAATACCGCACTGAAGAGATTCAAGCAACCAGCATATCAGCAAAAGATTGGTGTGGCTCAATCACAATAACATCAGTATACTGTCCACCAAAACACGCAACTAAGACGGCAACATATAAAAAATTCTTTAGAACCTTAGGTAACAGATTTATTGCAGGGGGAGATTTTAATGCTAAACACGTTGAATGGGGCTCTCGGCTTTCAACACCCAAAGGACGACAGATGCTCGCGGCTATAAGAAGCGAAAACCTTTCAACTATCTCGTCTGGAGAACCAACTTATTGGCCCACGGATCCTAAAAAAATGCCAGACTTGTTAGACTTTTGTGTTACTAAAGGAGTGCGACACGTTCTGTAAATCTAGCTTTGATCTTTCATCAGATCACTCGCCAGTATTATTACGGATAAAATCGAATATACAACTTAAAGTTCAAAAATGTTATCTGCACAACAAATTAACCAACTGGGATGCCTTCAGGCATACACTTAAGGCATTACTTGATGAAAAAATGGCGAAGAAATTGCGCTTGCAATCGAACATCTTATAAGGAGTATTCAACAATCAGCCTGGAGATCCACGCCTTCAAACATGCAACAATTCGCCACACCATTATGTAGTACGACTCAAGAACTTATAAGAGCCAAAAGAGCAGCGAGAAAGCGCTGGCAACAAACCAAATCTCCGAAAGATAAAAAACTTTTTAATGTGCTGATCAAAAATCTAAAAGAACATCTGAAAACCAGAAATTTGGAAATACAAAGAAATCTCCAAAGACTAGACGCAACTACTTCCACCAACTACTCTCTCAGGCGAGCAATCAAGAAACAGACATCAACGCACAATGCACCAGTAAAAAACGAACTTGGGGAATGGGCCCGAACAGATACAGAAAAATGCAAAGTATTTACGGACCATTTGTCTTCAGTTTTTGTTCCAAACATTAATGAAGCCCCAAATAGTATAACTGAAGAGATTAGAGAGGTATTACAGCAAACGCACCAACTGGACCTTCCAATACAAAAATTCTCCATTTTCGACATTAAATTCGAAATCAAAAAACTAAAAATAAATAAAGCACCCGGCTATGACCTAATTACTTCAAAAATATTAAAGGAGTTACCGGATGAAGCAATAGTACTGCTGCGAAACATTTTTAATTCTATTGTCACAAAAGGCTTTATCCCTCCCCAATTCAAGGTGGCTCAAATCACCATGATACTCAAACCTGGGAAAACGGCAAAAGATGTTAAGTCATATAGACCAATTAGTCTTCTACCGGTTATGTCAAAGTTGTTGGAAAATTTATTTCTTACCAGATTAATGCCCATTGTCAATAGAAGGAAACTAATTCCGGAATATCAATTTGGTTTTAGAAAAAAACACAGTACAATAGAGCAAGTACACAGAGTGGTAAATGTTATACATACAGCATTTGACAAAAGGAAGTACTGCACAGCAGCATTTCTGGACATATCCCAGGCATTTGATAATGTTTGGCATAACGGCCTATTGTTTAACCCTGGACGTATAATCATAATTCTACTAACGTTAAGAATAATCATATGTAAAAATGACGTGTAATTTTCAGAGTTTATATTTTGCCGTTATATTAATTTAAATGTGTGCAAGTTTTTTACAAGTTTTTAAAGAAGTATTTATTTATTCAAATTAAAACAAAACAGTAATACTTTCAAACACATTTTTTAAATAAACATAATAAATATAATATGCCAATGATTTTCACTTAAAAAGGAATTGCATTTTTCAAAATTATGTATTAAGAGTAAATTTTCAATATTTCTTAATATTTTTTTTTTATTTTTATTTAGAATAAATCAAAAAATAATAATAGAAACAAAAAAGTAAATGAAATTTATATATACTTATAAAATAAACAACTTAAAGTTAGCTTATAGAAATAGCAAGTCATACTGAGATCGTCATAAATGTTACGAAAATAATTAAAATTATTAGGAACTTTGGTTCAAATCAGCTAATTTTAGTTATATAATAATAATTAATCCTATGCAGAAATACACTTAAAGCATGTATCACGATTGTGCTCTCTACAAATCAGCTTTTTACAAGAACTACATCTAATGTTTGTCATTCTTTTTTTCTTATATGAACAGAATGCACAATATGTTCGACTAGAACTAGATTTTCCACCTTTCGGATCATTTTCTTCATCTTTTTGTAATATTTCAACAATATTAAATCTCTTTGATTCCATTTCTATTAAAACTTTACTGAAATTTGAAAGAAATAAAAGTTTTTCAAAATACTTTATTAGCCATAAAAGTTACACAAAGTATAATCATACGTAAAAATGACGTACAACGACTCAATATCTAACTTATGTCATGACTTACCGACACTTAACATACACCTTACGCAAGAGTTAGATCCCGACTGAACATATCAAGAGCGCGAGAGCAATATATGAACACAAAAATGAAATAACTGTAAAAAACGAAAACGTGTACGTCAAATTTACGTACATTATGCGTCCAGGGTTAAGCTTAAAAAGATGCTCCCAACTAATTACTATATTTTCTTAGAATCTTACATCGAATTACGATATTTCTTTGTAAAACAGGGGGATGAAATATCAACTTTGCAGCCAATTCAGGCTGGAGTGCCACAAGGCAGTGTCTTGGGACCTGTGTTATACTTACTCTTCACTAACGACTTGCCTACCACTGTTGGTACTGAGATTGGAACTCTTGCCGATGATACTGTGGTAATTGCTACAGACGAAAATCACCAGTTAGCATCCAACAAACTCCAGCGAGCGCTAGATAACATTTCCCAGTGGCTTAAAACCTGGAGAATAAAAGCAAATGAGACTAAGTCTTCACAAATAACCTTTACAATGAGAAGGAAAAATTGCCCACCGGTACGCCTTAACGATATTTTAATCCCTCAATCTTCCCAAGTGAAATATTTAGGAATACACTTTGATACAAAACTAACTTGGAAGCACCATATTTTTACCAAAA